AGACCTTAGGCCAGCCATAGATCTATCAAATCCATCTATGGGCAAGCTGGTTGTACTGAAATCGATCCATTGATTGACTTCAATACAACCAGCCTGTTGGATTATTCACATGCGATTACTGCTGGCGGCTGTTTCAGGTAGCTTTATTAATTGTGTTTTCCCAGCAGGAGAGGCTCCCTGCCAGCAGAACACATCGGGGAGGCATTCCCCCCCATGAACACTGGCTATGTTGATGGGGGGTATCGAGTGTATAAAATCATCTATGGCTTGCCTTAGATTGTAAGCTCCTTGATGGCAGGGACTAATGTGAATATACAATAGAGATGTAAAGCACTGCATAAATTGACTACGCTATATAAGTACCCATAATAAATGAATAAATGATGATGACAAGGGATCACAGGATCTTAAGAGATATGGCACATGAGATGCACAGGTCTCATATCAATACAAATTTTTCATCGTATTTCAACTACATCATATCATAGATTAGTTGGTGCCAGAGGTCATTTGAGTCTACACAATTAAACTTCCAAAGCAGATAAAAAACTAATATGTGGCAAAAGAGAAATAATACAGACTTTCCTTTTACATGGGGCTTCCTCTATGTGAGAGGCAACAAAGAACAAATCCAGCATAACTAGCGGCTGTATTCCAAGATCACAGCATTACCAGCAATAATGAGCGGGTTGACTGGTGCTCCGCAGCAATGCCCAGATGAAAAACTAAAGTGCCAAGCAGGGAAGCAGTGTTCTCTGTATGTATCTAAAATCTTTATTATCAGTTTTGACTGAAGTGTACATTTAGGCTTTTTTATGCAGTTTAGCCAGTCATTCATAATTACAGGTTCCCATTAAAATGTAGCATTGTATAATTATCGTTTGCTCATGCAGATGGTGAGTGTATCTATAGTGCCTTTTTTTCTTCACATGGCAGCGTGTGGTGTAATTATCATTTACTCATGAAAATAGGTAGTGTATCTGTAGTGCCTTTTTTTTCTTTACTTTGAAGTATGTGGTGCTGTCAGACAACAGTATTGATGTTATTGTGTTTTTTTTTTGTCAGCAGGCTTTGGCAGCCTCTCATCAAATGGTACTGTGACAATAATAACCCCTACTAAGACCTACAAAGCAGTGCTGGAACCTGAGAAAATGCTGTACTGAATTTTCCCTCCCTGACATGGAATCAGGGTAATTCAATAAATGATAGTGGAAGCCGGATGAAAATTAGAGTTACTTTGTAATTTACATGTTTCATGGGAGTTTAATGGTAGCTTTAAGCTAGTCATACACTGTTGAAATTCGGTCAGCTGTGGTCAAAAGGCAGGTCCATGTCCATTCTTCTAAGGATTACTGAGAATGTGTGTTTTTACAGTGCCTTGAAAAAGTATTCATACCCCTTGAAATTTTCCACATTTTGTCATGTTACAACCAAAAATGTAAATGTATTTTATTGGGATTTTATGTGATAGACCAACACAGAGTGGCATATAATTGTGAAGCGGTAGGAAAATGATAAATGGTTTTCAAACTTTTTTACAAATAAATATCTGAAAAGTGTGGCATGCATTTGTATGCAGCCCCCATGAGACAGTACTTTGTAGAACCACCTTTCACTGAAGTTACAGCTGCAAGTCTTTTTGGGGATGTCTCTACCAGCTTTGCACATCTAGAGAGTGACATTTTTGCCCATTTTTTGCAGAATAGCTCAAGCTCTGTCAGATTGGATGGAGAGAGTCTGTGAACAGCAATTTTCAAGTATTGCCACAGATTCTCAATTGGATTTAGGTCTGGACTTTGACTGGGCCATTCTAACACATGAATATGCTTTGATGTAAACCATTCCATTGTAGCTCTGGCTGTATGTTTAGGGTCATTGTCCTGCTGGAAGGTGAACCTCCGCCCCAGTCTGAAGTCTTTTGCAGACTCTAACAGGTTTTTCTTCTATGATTGCCCTGTATTTGGCTCCATCCATCTTCCCTTCAACGCTGACCAGCTTCCCTGTCTCTGCTGAAGAAAAGCATCCTCACAACATGATGTTGCCACCATGTTTCATGGTGGGGATGGTGTGTTCAGCGTGATGTGCAGTGTTAGTTTTCCGCCACAAATAGCATTTTGCTTTTAAAACAAAACGTTCCATTTTGGTCTCATCTGACCAGAGAACCTTCTTCCACATGTTTGCTCTGTCCCCCACATGGCTTTTCGCAAACTGCAAATGGGACTTCTTATGGCTTTCTTTCAACAATGGCTTTCTTCTTGCCACTCTTCCATAAAGGCAACATTTGTGGAGTGCATGACTAATAGTTGTCCTGTGGACAGATTCTCCCACCTGAGCTGTGGATCTCTACAGTTCCTTTAGAGTTACCATGGACCTCTTGGCTGCTTCTCTGATTAATGCTCTCCTTGCCCGGCCTGTCAGTTTAGGTGGACGGCCATGTCTTGATAGGTTTGCAGTTGTACCATATTCTTTCCATTTTCAGATGATGGATTCAACAGTGCTCCATAAGATGTTCAAAGCTTGGGATATTTCTTTATAACCTAATCCAGCTTTAAACTTCTCTACAACTTAATCCCTGACCTGTCTGGTGTGTTCCTTGGCCTTCATGATGCTGTTTGTTCACTAATGTTCTCTAACAAACCTCTGAGGGTTTCACAGAACAGCTGTATTTATACTGAGATTAAATTACACACAGGTGGACTCTATTTACTAATTAGGTGACTTTAGTTAAGTGATTTTAGTTAGGTAATTTTAGTTAGGGGTATCGGAGTGAAGGGGGATGAATACAAATGCATACCACACAATTATGTGCCAGTTTGTGTTGGTCTATCACATAAAATCCCAATAAAATACATTTACATTTTTGGTTGTATCATGACAAAATGCGGAAAATTTCAAGTGGTATGAATACTTTTTTAAGGCACTGTATACTGTATCTGTACACAGCATAAATGATGGACAATTTAACAATCGGGAGACCTCGGATTCTTTTGCACTTGTAGTTTCAGGATCCAGGCGCAATGTACTCCAAAGCATGCCCAGGCAAAAAGCTGCTGGAAATGTATTCTGGCCAATTAGAGTTCATTAACACATGAAAGCATGTTTAAGTGTGTTTGCATGTTTTTTCAGCCCAAATGCTCCTCTTCAGAATAAGCAGGTGATGTTTTTTTTCCTCTGCCTCTAAACACACCCTGTAAATGCCAATGTGTGCATGGACACAAAGGGGTTGATTTACTAAAACTGGAGAGTGCAAAATCTTGTAATCTGCGCATGGTAGCCAATCAGCTTTTAACTTCAGCTTGTTCAATTAAGTTTTGACAACAAACCCTGGAAGCTGATTGGTTTCTATGTAGAGCTGCACCAAATTTTGCACTCTCCAGTTTTAGCAATTCAACCCCAAAGGATAACATGGAGGAATGTTTAGAGGCAGAGAAAAAAAAAAGTAAAACGGCTGTAAAACAGATGTTTTTGGGCTGCAGTTTGCATGTGGCCTTAAACCAAATGGTGTAGCACAAGGTGCAGTACTCTGCTCAGCAACGCTTTGAGTAACTGAAGTTGGCCACACACTGAGCAAATTTTGGCCAGTTATTGATGAACCAGAAAAAATTTGACATTAATAAAATCAATGGGACCCGATAAAAATTATTGGTTAAATACTGCTTGCATCCAACCAAATGCAGACACTGTTTTGTAATCCTGACAGTCAGTGGCATTAGCTGCCAGAATACAATAGCCACAGCAGGACATTTTTCCCTCTCTGCTGTGTAGTGTGGATGGAGGAATCTATTACTGTATTCTTCTTCTTATTATTATTATTATACAGGATTTATATAGCACCAACAGTTTGTTCAGTGCTTTGCAATATAAAGGGAGACAATACAGCAAAGATACAGTGCAATACAAGAGGGTTAAGAGGGCCCTGCTCCTTGGAGCTTACAATCTAAGAGGGAGGGGCTAGCGGTACAAAATGTAATAACTGTGGGGGACAAACTGATGGGAGGAATAGAAGATGCCGTTATTAGCTGAAGGCAGGATAGGCTTCCCTGAAGAGATAGGTTTTCAGAGATCGCCTAAAAGTGGGCAGAGTAGGCGATAGTCAGATAGATTGGGGTAGAGAGTTCCAGAGAATGGGGGAGGCTCTGAAGAAGTTCTAGAGATGGGCATGGGAGGAGGAGACAAGGGAGCTAGAGAGCAGGAGGTTGTGGGAGGAGTGGAGAGGATGGTTTGGGTGATATTGGAGACAAGATTGGTGATATAATTGGGGGCAGAGATTTAAATGGCTTTATATGTTATAGTTAATGTTTTGAATTTTATTCATTGGGCAATGAGAAGTCAGTGGAGGGATTGGCAGAGAGGGATGGCAGACATAGAACATTTGGTAAGGTGGATGAGTCTGGCAGCAGCATTCATATCTATTACATTTCTTTCATTCAACCTGCTGACTGAACAAAAATGGGTGTATGGCCAGCTTAACCTCCCTGGCGGTATGATTATTTCAGATTTTTGGTGCTGAAAGCGGTACCATTTTTTTGCATGGAAATATGTATTTTTTTTATTGTAGGCTGTAATTTTTAGGAAAAACTCACTGAAATCTGTCCGAACAAGAGTCTAGTAAACATCCCGGGTATGATAAAATTTGAAACACAAAATCATAAATTATAATTTAATAAATAATCATAAAAATAATATAAAAATAATAAAAAATTTAATTCAATAATATAATCAAACCAAAAAACACTGAAATGTGAAATATAGCGCCAAGTTCGCACATTGCTGAGCTCAGTCGCAAAATCGTTTTCAGTTTCTGATGACGAATTTCCCCCACGAATCATTATCACTCAATTCTGCAAGTGGTTCTGATTTACTATCGCTGTTCTCTAGCTGATCTAAACCGCTTTTGACCTAAAGGGACACTTTTTGGATGCCATGGACATTTCTCAGTTTCCAGGCAGAAAGAACAGACAAAATGCAGGCAGGGCGCAGGACAAAGCACTAGGGACAATATGTATGTGAAATAGGTTGAAACAGCAATGTTTTACTGTGTAAAATGAAAAAAAAAAAAAAAAGAAATTTTTTAAAATTTTTAAATTTCCCGCCGCCGGCGGCGCCCGTAACGTCCCGACGTCACAGGGACAGGACACAGAAGCCGGATGCTGGCATCGGCCGGAGGAGATGGCCGGGGACGCTGCAGGGGACACATCGTGGGAGCGCAGGGTAAGGTAAGTGAAGAACACATGCCGGAGCAGCGCCGCATGGTATTCCCGAGTGTAGCTCGGGGTTACCGCTTTTGGTACTGAAATGTTACCCCGAGCTACACTCGGGAATACCGCCAGGGAGGTTAAAGAGGAGCTCCAGGCTCCCCCCAAAAAATTAAAAGTCACCAGCTACAAATACTGTAGCTGCCGACTTGTAATATAAGGACACTTGCCTGTCCAGGGATCCATCAATGTCCTCACCCGATTCAATTCTTCAATTGTCTTTGGTGCAGGTGCTAGCATCTTAAGTAAGGGAAACCTTGCGGCTTCACTGCTGGTTTCCTGCAGCGCCGTGCTTTGTGAATGATCTCACAGTCTTCTGGGACTTGTGGAGTGTGCGGGGGAAGGAAGGGGGCTGAACTTCTGCCTCAGTTCACCACGGTGATCTGACCCAGAACTGGGAGCGGGTACATGCCAAAAAACAGGTACTCGCTGCCCCCTCCCCTCAAAAAGTTCCAAATGTGGTAGTGGAGGGGGGAAGATACTAACAAGTGGAACTTACCCTTTTGGGTGAAATTCCGCTTTAACTTATACCAAATAGGGAGCTAAGGGCTTCTGAGTTGACTCTGACTATACTGAGATGCGTACTTGCTCCAGGTCAGTGACTCAGGAAGTAATGAAGACAGATGGTCAGCTAACTTGAAGAAACTGTCAGCTGAGGATGGGTAACAAATACGTGTCAGAGCATTCCATTGGTAATGTAGAGCATCACACAAATGATTATGTGTTTTTTGGATTGAATTTTGTGCAACCACTTCTGTTTTAGAGAGCTATTGTATAGATTAAATGCCAAATCAGCCATGTATTTGGAGTCATATTAGCCTGGGGCCTTTTAATGTAATTAAGCCTTTAATTGATTCCCTTGCCAATGACGTTCGGATTTATAGTGTCTACCAAAGCCAGTAGTTGTGCAGAGAAATTCTGTGTGTTCTAAGAATATGATTAGCTGTGAGAAAACAATCCAGTCTTTATGTGATCCCATGCTACCCCTTCCTTGAAATCGAGATGTAAGAATAAAATTGAGTTTGTAAAGTGTTATGTTTTTGCTGATGCCTTCGATTTTATTCTGAAAATGGCATAAATGTAACTGTCAGGGATCTCCTCGATCCCCGCCGCGATGGTCCCGGCGCAGGCGCAGTGCACCACCCTGTGCAGGGACACGGGCACTAGGTCCGGGCCGGCCGCGGCGTTCGAGTTCGCGCATGCGCAGTAGAAGCCGCGGCCGCCCGCTGGGCACCAATGGCAAAGCGCAGGGCGGGATATTTAAATGGCCCTGAGCTGTCATTCAGTGCCTTCTGGTCTTTCCTGCATCCTGTGATTCTGCGAACCTGTACCCTGTAAGTGATTGTACCTGACCTTGCTGTTTTTCTCCTATTCTGACCCTTGCTTTGCCTGACCTCTCTCCTGGATGCCCCCTATTGGATTTGACCTGCTGTTGCTGACCTGGCGTGTGACCCGACCATTCTATGCCCACTGCCTTGTACCTTGCCGTCCTCTCTGTTATAGACCCGGCCCGCCTGACCTTGCTCATCCATCCATCCATCCATCCCTTGCAGTGGGGTCTTCTGACCTCCTCATATCAGACTTTTCCCCGTGGGAGCCCTTGGCGCATACCACTACCACTGACGGACGCACCCAGTAGCCACGACCTGGTCTCGGGGGGCTCCAAGTCCATCCCTACCATCAGGGGCCCTGGTGAACAAGCACCCTGGGACTTAGACTCCGTGCGCTGGGGACGCCTATTCAGTGGAGTGCTAGTGGTACCGCCAGGCGGTCCCTTACAGTACCAGAAGGCCATGACTGAGTCTAGAGGAGGGCCCTCGCCGCTTGAGGAGATCTGCAGGCACCTGTCTAATTTGACACAGGCCGTATCGGCCCTGCAGGACAGATGTCAGCAGATTGAGAATCAATTCCAGACCTGCACTATATCCGTTCCTGCCCCACAGGCCGCGGTCCCCGCACCCCCGGCCGTAGCAGCCCATGTGCCGGTTTCTGGGGCGTCCGCACCACTCCCGGCGGCCGAACCCCGAGGACCCTTACCGGAACGTTTTCACGGGGACCGCACACGGTTCAGGTCGTTCAGTGAGTCCTGTCTTCTCTATTTTGAGTTACAACCACGGACCTTCGTGACTGAATCCGTGAAGGTGGGGTTCGTCATCTCCCTCCTGCAGGGTGAACCCCAAGACTGGGCCCACCGACTGCGGGGAAAAAATGACCCTCACCTTAGTTCGGTTGACAATTTTTTTGACGCAATGGCCATCCTATACGATGACCCACAGCGGGCAGCTTCTGCTGAAGCTACTTTGTACACGCTCCGGCAAGGCCGCCGAGCGGCGGAGGAGTACGCGTCTGAGTTTAGGCGCTGGATGGGGGACACACGCTGGAACGAGTTTGCACTCCTGCATCAGTTCCGTATAGGCCTATCAGAAGGCCTGAAAGATGAGCTCGCCCGGGTGGAGGTGCCTGAGACTTTAGAGGACTTAATTGCGCTGACCATTAAGATTGACCGTAGACTGCGGGAACGCAGGTTTGAGAGGTCCGGCCAGGGTCATGGAAATCCCTGGGGGTCATTTCAAGGTCCCAGTCAAGCACCTAGGCCAAACATCCAGAACCGGCCACCTGGAGATATCCCTGAACCCATGCAACTCGGCCTGGCACGGCCTAAACTATCTCCAGAGGAACACCAGCGCAGACGATCCCAGAACCTGTGCCTCTACTGTGGTGAAGCTGGTCATATGGTACGATCCTGCCGCAGAAACTGAGTAAGTGCACCTCTTCTTCCTTATCCATTGGCAATGTTAGTCCATCCCAATACTTAGTGGTGCCCCTTTCCTTTCAGCTTCCAGAAAGGACCGTGGAAGTATCGGCCATAGTTGATTCGGGGGCATGCAGCTGCTTCTTGGACATTAATTTTGCTCACCAGCAGGGTATTCCTCTCCAATTGAAACAGAAGGGGTTCAATATTTATTTGGCCGACGGTTCCCGATAAAATCGGGGGTAGTGAACCAGGAAACCCCCTCCATCGCCACTGTCATTGCCGGCCAGCACCAGGAACTCCTCCGCCTGGATGCTATAGCTTCACCCCTCTTCCCAGTCATTTTGGGGCTCCCATGGTTACGGGCCCATAACCCCCCCAAATTGACTGGGAGACCGGAGTAATCTCATTCCCTTCCCCATACTGTTGGGTATGCTGCCGCACTTCGGGCCCGGGGGTCCCCCAAATCCTCCTGTGCTCTGAGGGGGAAGCCGAATTAAAACAAGTAATCCCTGCAGCCTACCATGAGTTTCTAGATGTGTTCAGCAAATGGGGAGCCGATACTCTACCCCCCCACCGCCCTTTATGACTGTCCCGTTGACCTGTTACCCGGTTCAGAAATTCCTTTTGGGCGAATCTTCCCCCTTTCAGAGCTCGAATTGGGGGCCCTGAAGGAATATATCGAGGACAGCCTCCAGAAGGGGTTCATCCGCCCCTCCACTTCACCGGCGGGGGCGGGAATTTTCTTTGTTGAAAAGAAGGACAAAACCTTAAGGCCGTGTATCGATTACCGGGAATTGAACAGGGTCACGATAAAGAACCGTTACCCACTGCCGTTAGTACCGGAGTTATTCCAAAGTTTAAAAACAGCAGTGGTTTTTTTACAAAGCTGGATTTGAGGGGAGCGTACAACTTGGTTCGCATAAGGGAGGGGGACGAGTGGAAGACGGCCTTCCGCACCCGCTTCGGCCACTTTGAATATTTGGTCATGCCGTTCGGGTTGTGTGCAATGCTCCGGCCACTTTTCAACACTTTGTGAATGATATTTTTAAAGACTTTCCTGGATGTCTTTGTTATCGTCTATTTAGACGACATTTTGATTTTCTCCCCTTCTTTGGAGGAACACAGAATACATGTAGCGAGGGTATTGGGGTGATTGCGGCAGCATGGGTTGTACGCCAAGGCAGAGAAATGTTGTTTCGAACAATCCAGCATTACTTTCTTGGGCTGATTATCTCCACCGCGGGGGTCGCGATGGATCCTCAGAAAGTCGCTGCAATACTGGATTGGCCTGAACCCACGGACAGGAAAGGCGTCCAACGATTTATCGGTTTTGCAATTTTTACCGGAAGTTCATCAAGAACTTCTCGGGTCTGGTCTCCCCCATTACTCAGCTAACCAAGCTGGGAACCCGGTTCAGATGGACACCAGAGGTGCAGGAAGCTTTTGAAGCCTTGAAGAAGCTGTTCACCTCGGCACCCATTTTGGGTCACCCAGACGCCGCCGCCCTGCCCTATATCTTGGAGGTGGATGCATCGGAGAATGCGGTAGGTTCCATCCTCTCCCAGCGGAAAGGCACCAAGGAATTGCTCCATCCTGTAGCATTCTTCTCACGGAAGCTTACCCCAGCGGAGAAGAATTATGATATCGGTGATCGAGAGCTACTGGCGATCAAAACGGCGTTAGAGGAATGGAGGTACCTGCTGGAAGGTGTGGTGCACCCCATCTTAATATTTACTGACCACAAAAACCTGGAATATCTGAGAACCGCCAAGCGTCTACGCCCGACAGGCAAGATGGGCACTATTCTTTTCAAGATTCAACTTCCACATTACGTACCGGCCTGGATCAAAGAACACTAAGCCAGATGCGTTATCACGTATGTACGAGGACGCCAAGGAAATCCCAGTACCCGACACCATCCTGTCCTCGGGTAACTTCTTGGCCCTTCAGTCGGACCTTCGTTCCAAGATAATGGAGGCATCCACAACCGTCTCTACCCCGGGCGGAGGGCCCCTCCAGAACAAGGGGGGACTTTTATGGAGGGAAGATCGAATTGTGGTGCCGGAGGAAGCCCGAACCCTGGTCTTGGGGCATTGCCATGACCACCCGATGGCGGGGCACTTTGGCCCAGAAAAGACCCTGGAACTTCTCCGACGCTCCTTCTGGTGGCCGGACATGGCTAAAGATTGTAAGGGCTATGTAAGGTCCTGTATCACCTGCCAGAAGAACAAGCCATCAAGAAAAAAAGTTTGGGGTCTGCTGCGACCCTTACCGATTCCTGAACAGCCTTGGCAAAAGATCCCCTTAGACTTTATAGTCGAGCT